CCCCCCCCATGTAAATAGCAACTGCAGGGGGACCAATCCAGACTGTAGTGAGAGGCAAAGGGTTCTTGTCTCTCCCCTTGGCAATATCATTATTAAAAGCAGTTTGTGCAACTGGTAATGATGTCAATGATGTCTCATTTTGTTTGGGCTTTATTCTGAACGCAGATGCATCCAGGTTCCCTGTTGGTTGAGCATCCATCCTGGTTTGTCAGTGCAGAGTTAGTGGGGAGGTCAGGTGACACTGGCTATTTTTCATGGAATTGTAGAGTTGGGAGGGACCATGAGGGTCATCTAGTCCAACCCCCTGCAATGCAAGAATCTTTCACCCAACATGGGGCTCAAACCCACGAACCTGAGATTAAGAGTCTCATGCTCTACCAACTGAGCTAATTGAGCATTTGTCCTGGGGTTTTTTGCTGGGAGGTGATAATTACCTTGTCCCAAGCAAGCATTTACCCCAGGCTTCCCTCCATCACTTTCCTTACTGCAAGAAGTCCATTGCTTTTCAGTTTTTGTTTTCCTGGAATCAGGTTTGTTGCGGAGGAGTGTCAAATCCATTTCAATTGTGCAACTGAAATTTGCCTGCACCCATTAGAACAGAGACAGACTGTAATACTCACAAATGCTGTGACCCAAGAGAAAGCCGCTGCTTGAGAAAGAACCATAGCTCGGTGGCCTTGATCCCTGACCTCTCCAGGAAAGATTCCCTGTCTGAAATGCTGGGGAGCAGCTGCCAGTCAGTGTAGACAGTATTGAGCTAGTGTAGGGTTTGGCTTTATTTCCTAAGCAACTGCAAAAAAAGCATGGCTATGGAGCACCAGCAACTCACAGGGATATACGGAGAGGTACTTTTATTTGAATGCGGAATATTTGGGTGCGTTTGAATGAGACAGGGACTGTACTCGAAGAAGCAGGGCAGGAAGGCATTTGCTATTTTCATTATGAAAATGGCAAATACACCTTTTAAAAAAAAAGATAATACCGAGCCAATACCAATGGTCTGACTCATTATAAGGCAGCTTCCTAAGACCCTGTGCTTAGTCATCCATGGTATCTAGCCATACGCTGAGGTTCCCTTTTGGACTAGATTCCCTTTTGAGTCCCTTCCAACTCTACAATTCTGTGGTACCGAGTGGTGTAGAACAAGCACAGTGCAATAAAAATGAAAATTGTGTCAAACTACTGTACAACTGTACAGCTGGGACGTGGGTGGCGCTGTGGTTAAGCCACAGAGCCTAGGGCTTGCCGATCAGAAGGTCGGCGGTTCGAATCCCCGCGATGGGGTGAGCTCCCGTTGCCCGGTCCCTGCTCCTGCCAACCTAGCAGTTCAAAAGCACGTCAAAAGTGCAAGTAGATAAATAGGTACCGCTCCGGCGGGAAGGTAAACGGCGTTTCTGTGCGCTGCTCCGGTTCGCCAGAAGCGGCTTAGTCATGCTGGCCATGTTAAGTTGTGGGTGAACATATCAGACGACACAGCGATTCTTCCAAAGCAGCTCTTTATTTGTAAGCTGGAACAGAACTGAACTGAGGAGATCAGTCAGCCTGCTTATATAGAGCTCCAGAACAGCATAACTGTTGCAACTGTTGCAACTTTCTAAAACTATCCAATCACTGAATGTCACTTTTGATCCTTCATTTGCATACAAACTATCCAATCACTGAACGTCACTTTCGATCCTTCATTTGCATAACTATCTACAGTATCCCCCTGCTGGCCCAGGGTGAGAATTTCAGTACATAACAGGCCACATGACCCAGAAGCTGTACGCCGGCTCCCTTGGCCACTAAAGCGAGATGAGGGCCACAACCCCAGCGTCGGCCACGACTGGACCTAATGGTCAGGGGTCCCTTTAACTTTACCTTTACTGTACAACTTTAACTCAGAATTCAGTTACGGTGCCTGCTGGATTAGTCGTCTATAGACACTAAGTTCAACAGGGAGGGGGCTTGTCTGTTCTCAGCTGGAAAGGAGTTCCATAAAATTGGACCCAAATAGTTTGTGCATAGCTTCCCGCAGATGCAAAAAGCTGAGCATCTGAGCCATGGAGAACCATCTGAAGACCTCAGTGATCTGGGAGGGTTATAAGGGCTCAGGCAGTCCTTGAGGTATCCTGAGCCCAAGTGGTTCAGGGCATTTAAAATCAACAGCAGCACCTGCACCCTGGGCATTGGCTGTGCTGGTTGGGGCTAAAGGGAGTTGGAGTCCATGAACAGATGGAGGTCCACAGTTTCCCCTACCCTGATTTATTCCTTCTCCTGGCCCCACTCTTCCTCCGCCACCTCCCTGGTTTTATTCCGAACAGCAGCCGTCAGGGTGAGTTTACCTTTTCCCTAGCCCCAAAAGCCCCTTGCAGGGTGAGTCAGGCTAGCAAGGCCCGTCAGTTACATCAGAGCTTGGCCATTACGGAGCCTTCGGAACAGAACATGTCTCCTATCAAAGCACAAAGGGCAAAAACCAGAGGGGGGGGGAGAGCAGCAGGCAGGACGCCCTGACCTTTCAGCCGGGAGGAGAGAGAGGAATAAAACTTTCAAGCTACCTGTTGTTGTTTTTTAAAAATAATAGTAACGTGCGGAGCAAGTTTTCTGTTATCATCTTATCAAAGGACAGCTTCCCCTTGGAGACCGCAGGCCTCTCTGAACTGCAAGCCGTGGTGATGAGTTATGAATTAACCTGACATTGCTCCAAATAGAGGCAGCTGCCAAACGCAAGATTAAATATATAAGGCCATTAAGAAACGGGCAGGGGGAGCGGAAGGCAGGAGGGTAATCAAGCCTGGGAACTGGTAGAAAGGAGTGGCGCCCAAGGGCGGCGCAGTATTGCGGGGAGATAAGGATATCCCTGGGGCAGCTTGTGGAACAGCTAAAGAAGAATCGCAGGAGCCGCTCATCGTTTCGTTCCAAATGGCCTGGAGTGAACCAAGGAGCCGGCAGTCAAAGCGCACACCCCAAACAGAGATGGGCTTCTATCCTGAACACAGTGCATCTGTCAATCTTGGGAATATAGCAAGCTGGCTAATCTTGAGTCAGACCCTTGGCTCATCTAGCTCAGTATTGTAGACACTGCCTAGCAGCAGCTCTCCAGGATTCCAGACATGTACCAGGACATGGTGGGAATGGAACCAGGGACCTCCTGCGGGCAAAGCAAATGGTCTGCTGCTCGGCTATGTCTCAACCCAGTTTGAAAGCACAATCTTTGAGTTACGTTGGCGGTTTCAAACTTTGTTGGCAGGTGTGCAGATGGGTGCGGAATGTGAACTGAGCTCATTCGCACTCAGGACTTATCCACACTTAACTTTTGCCCTGTGCTTTCAAGGCATAGGTGCAGGCTTCCCTGGTCCATTCAGGTTTTCAGTGCTCCGATTCAGCAGTAAAGAGTGAGTTTTCATGGGGAAAGTGGCAGTGGGGGGGGGGGGAGCGCCTAGACACGAGTCTGGAAAGCCCAGATCTGTACTTCAAAGTGCAGATGAAAGGTAATTGCAGATGAGCCCTTCCTGAGCCAAAAGGCAGGTGCCTTTGGCAATTCTGATGTCTTTGAATTTTAAGAACATGGGAAGAGTCAGTTGGATGAGGCCAGTGGCCCATCTAGTCCCACATCCTGTTCTCACAGTGGCCAACCAGATGCCTGTGGAAATTGGTTGCAAAAATCCATCTATTTGGTGGAATGCATACACAAATGCATATGAATTTCAATGCAAACTTAAAAAAAAAAAAGTTTTCAAGGTGATGGGGAAATTGGTCAAACTGAAGAATGGGAAGATAAGAAAATGAGAGACACCAAAACTGGCAGATTTGTCCATTGTTACCATCCAAAACTGACCAGGGCCTACATGTGGCTACAAGGTTATACACAGGAATCTGCCATGTACCAAGTCAGACCATTAGTCCATCTGGCTTAATATTGTGCACACTGACTGGCAGCAGCTGTCCAGGGTTGCAGATGGTAGTTTCTCCCAGTCCCACCTGGAGATGCCAGGGATTGAACCTGTGACCTTCTGCATGCAAAGCAGATGCCTTGCCACTGACAATCTCCCCTCAGTGTGCAGCTAGATGGTTTTACATTCTGGATTTGGGGAACATGGAATCTTTAGATGGCAAGGTGTACTAGTTCACTTACTTAAAAATGTGGCGAGAAGCTTCTGCTGTATTTGGGGGACTTCCTGTTCATTCTGGTTTCTGGGGGCCCTGACATCTGCCCAGAAGTCATACCCTGATGGGACCACACTGCCTGCCCCAAAGATAGCCTCTCTGTCATTACCAATCTTTCTCTGAAAGACATGGCTTCAGAAGAGTGTTGGGATATACTGAGCTGTGCATAGGAGCTGATGGGTTTTCCCATAGGAGCAGATAACTTGTTCCACCTACCCCATGTTCTCTGCACTAGGCATATCTTGTGGCAGTGAGTTCCACAAGTTGATTTTAGCTCTGTGAAGACGTATTTCCTAGACAGGCTACTCATTGTTATCAAGTGGACAGGGATAGGTTGAAGGGTTGTATCCAATTCTGGTCCTTCTCAGAGCTGACTCATTATGGGCCAAGATTAACTTAGGTTCAACCATTTCAATGGGTTTATTCTGAGCAGGACTTAACCCTGAAAAATCTCCTGTTTTTTTTCACACAAGACCTTAAACGGGGGAGGGGGGGACCCTTGAAATTCTGAGATCTGTGATTAAAAATAATAACAAATCACATGTTTCGGCAACAAGATCTCTTGGCGCAGGTTCCCACCGTGCATAACTTGAGTCTCGGAGGGTTGAGGAATGTAAATACTGATTGTTTCAGAAAGATAAGCACCTTGACCTTGGAGGAAAAGGCTGCCCTGGGGAAGGACAGGAAAAATACTTCTTGAAATGACAGGGAGATTAGCGTGGTTTCCCATCAGAAATCAACGAGAAGTAGATGTACCTAATCAAGGAGAAAGGGATGGGGGGGCGTTGAGTGCTGGCTTGGTGCTACAACATCCTGGACACTCACTGCTCTCCTATTGGCAGCATGGAAGAAGGGCCATTGTAGCTCAGTGGTAGAGCACCTGCTTTGCATGCTAAAGGTCCCAGGTTCAATCCCTGGTGTCTCCAGGTAGAGCTGGAGAAAGCAGAGTCGGTCTGAAATCCTGGAGAGCTGCTGGCAGTCAGTGTAGACAATACTGAGCTAGCCTTTCCCCCCAAAATAGCAAGCTGACTTATACCACATCAGACCCTTGGTCCATCTAGCTCAGAACTGTATGACTGGCAGCAGCTGGGGTTTGAACCTGGGACCATTTGCTTGCGAGACAGATTCTTTGCCACTGAGCTACAGCCATTTCCCAGTCCTGGTAGACAATCCAGGGGCAAATGAACAAATACAAGTTCAAGGTCATTTCTAGGAGACAGCTTCCCAGGTGGGGTGATGTGTCCATGGGTCAGATCTACCTGTTTCCCATGAGCTGCCCTTCACAACACCCACTTTTGCTTTTTGTTTTTTACGACCTCTTTGGTCAAGCCCATTTCTGGGCAGGCAGTGAACAATACTTCCGCTTGTGGCGCTTCTAGTCCTGATGGCGTTTCCTGGCCGCTGCCTCGCTTTGTTTCTTCCTTGGGCATCTTTTCACGCAAGCTGTTCCCAGGGAGGTAAGTCTCAGGAAGAGCTCCTTCCCGGACTGCACAGAAGCCGCTCACTTTGCCAAGCTGTTGCCATCCGGACAGCCACCTGTGCAGGCTTAAGCTATGCCATCTGGGAGGATGAAGGTCAGTGGGAAATGCCTCCCCTTCCTTACAATGCTGAGTGAAAGGCCCTTGACAGCTCCTAAGCCCTTGTGGATGGCTTTGGAAAAAACCCCAAAGCAAATTCGTAGACTTTTAGAAATGGATGGAGGTCATAGAATCACAGAATTAAAGAGCTTTAGAGCTGGAAGGGGACCTCAAAGAGTCATCTAGCCCAACCCCCCGCAATACAGGAATCTCAGCTGAAAGCATCCATGACAAGATGGCCACCCAACCAGCCTTTTTGCTCAGGGTAGGATCGCCAGATCCAGTGTAGGATTCCCCAGCGTAGGGTCTTGTAATGCCAGGGTGCAAATCTATCGTGCAAATACCACATACAGTTTTGTTGCCTCACCTTGAAAAGGTTATTTAGAGTCAGAAAAGGGCTGATCAATGAGGTGGAGCAACTTCCCTGTACAGTGGTACCTCGGGTTACAGACGCTTCAGGTTACAGACTCCACTACCCCAGAAATAGTACCTCGGGTTAAGAACTTAGCTTCAGGATGAGAACAGAAATCGTGCTCCGGCGGCGTGGCAGTAGCGGGAGGCCCCATTACCTAAAGTGGTGCTTCAGGTTAAGAACAGTTTCAGGTTAAGAACGGACTTCCAGAACGAATTAAGTTCTTAACCCGAGGTACCACTGCAATGAAAACTTTGCAGCGCTTGGGATTTTTTAATTTAGAGAGAGGGAAAGTAGGAGGTGACATGATAGAAGTTCCTAAATGGATGCATGGCATGGAGAAATGGATAGAGAAAAACTTTTCTCTGCCTCTCATGGCACTAGACCTCGTGGACTTATTCAAACAGAGCATAAACTGTGGAACTCACTTCCCAGTGTCTGTTTTGATGCAGGAATGTCCCACTTTTCCTTAGGACACCCCTATTTTCATCAGAGGAATGTTGGAGGGTATGGAGTTATGCGACACCCCCACCCCCCGAGTCAAGGAGATAAGTAACTATACAACCTTTAGAAGACATCTAAAGGTATAGGGATTTTTAAAAAAAATGTTTAATTTTTCATTATGTTTTTATATATGTTGGAAGCCACCCAGAGTGGCTAGGGCAACCCAGTCAGATGGCCAGGGTATAAATGCAGCAGCAACAACAACAGCTGAATAGGCTGTCCCTATTTTCATTGGAGAAATGTTGGAGGGTATGATCATCAGGGGCAAGCAGGGAACCACCAGAAGTGCCTCCATCATAGAATCTCAGCAACTGAGCATAGAGAATCACAAGGTCCTTTGGGCCAAAGTTGCTTAGGGCTTTGTAAATTATCACAAGACCCTTGAACCTGGCCTGGCAACCAGAGGACGTAGGGCAGAGCTATTGATGGGTGAGGCCTGGAGGAGACTTCCAAGAGTCGCGCTGGGAGGGCCACATTTGGCCCTACGGTTTGAAGTCCTCCACCCGCTGCTTTTAGGTATTGTTGGATGCACCAGTTTAGATGTTGTCACGGCTGATCTGCAGCCTAAGCCAAGGAGCCCAGCCACTTGCCCCGTCAACTTCAAACCAGCCTGGCTGGCAGTACCTGCCTACTCTTCCCCTCCCCTCCTGCCAGCTGGGGTTGTGTGCACTGATCCTGCTCGTTCTGTGCCTGTTGAGGTGCTTGGCTGGGTTTGACCTGCTTTCGATGAGCCAGGGTTTGTCTTTGCTGAGACCTCACCCCCTCGCTGCCTGCTGTGTCCTCCTCCTCCTCCTCCCCACTCTAAATCTTGCCAGGGCCACTGCAAATCACAAACAAGCCTGGAGGGCAAATGGGTGGAAATGGGTGCTGGCTGGGGAGGAAGAAGAGGGCAGAGCAGTTGGCTGTGCTGTTTTCCGCAACCTGGGCTTGGATGCCATTCTGCCCACAGCCGTATCAGTGTGACGGAAGGATTGCTCTCCTAGGCACTTCTACCTGGCTCACCTGCTCAGGTGAGTGCGATGGAAAGGGAAAGAACCACCAGCCCACCCTGCTCCACCTGCAACTTTTGAAAGTGGGAGCTTACAGCCCGGAGGAGCTGCCAGCAAGTTGGATTTCAGACTAATCCTTAACTGTAAGGCATGACAATTTGCTTTCTTTCCCTCCTTCTGTCCTTCCCTCACCCTCCAGGAGTTGGCAGGTGAAAATGCTGGGTGGGGGGCTATTTGCAAGTACAATGGTACCTCAGGTTAAGAACTCAATTCATTCTGGAGGTGTGTTCTTAACCTGAAACTGTTCTTAACCTGAAGCACCACTTTAGCTAATGGGGCCTCCTGCTGCCGCCACGCCGCCGGAGCACAATTTCTGTTCTCATCCTGAAGCAAAGTTCTTAACCCGAGGTACTATTTCTGGGTTAGCGGAGTCTGTAACCTGAAGTGTCTGTAACCTGAAGCGTCTGTAACCCGAGGTACCACTGTATGCCAGCAGGGCCCTTGTTGCAAAGGCAACAAAACAAAGACTGACCATCCCTTCGTGGTAGAGCATCTGCTTTGCATGCAGAAGGTTCCCAGGTTCTATCCCCTGACGTTACCTGGTAGAGCAGGGGAAGACCTTGGGTCTGAAACCCTGGAGACCTTCTGCTAGTTTGTGTAGACCATACTGAGCTAGATGGGCACCTTCCTGTGTTTATGGTTTCCTTTTGCTTTTTATTTTCGGGTTCAGCTCCTGTGCCCGCAAGAGAGGCTGTGAGATTCATCAGGTGAAGCTCACCACCATTGGTCCTTGATCTCCATCCCAGGGGAAAAAAGCTGAACCCACTTAAAACCTGCACATCAGAAGACCTTGAAAGGCACAGGGTTCCCCTAAGCACAGTTTGAGAGCTTGAAGTCACTTGGGCACGGTGGCAACATACAAATGAGAGTCTGGAAGGGGTGTGTGGCTGGGAGAGGGCTTCAATAGACAACAAAGCTCTGGGACCTTCCGTAGGAGAGGAAATGAAGAGCAGGAGTGGTTTTTTAAACTCTGCTCCACCATAGTCTCGTTCAGGCTGCATTCAGGTGGTAATTTATTCCATTTCTCTGACATTGTTAATTTCCTATTTCTGTTTGAGCTTTCACACGATTCAGAAGCCACTTCTGGGAATGTAGTGGAATATAGCTTAGTGTACCTTTCATGTTAATTGGTTCTATCTGCAACCCCATTAACCCAGAAATTAGGGGAACCAATTGCAAAATTTGGGGCAGTATATTGGCATAAAGTTCTTTCCTGCTATTTTCATGGGGAAATCATAAGAGAACAGCAGCACATGTTGCAGAAAAGGTGGGGGAGTAGCAACATTGTCCAATGACGTTCACTGTTCACAACACACCCACTGGTAGCAATGAAATTTAGCACAACATACAGCTACCATACAGCTGTATCAAATAATGGGAGCCGACCCTTGTGTGTTCAGTGGCTAAGGATAGTACATTTATGCTGAGTTTTGCTGGTTCATGCTCCTCTTATACTGGTTTATTATGTGTTTTGCTCTTTACTTTTGGATCGGCGGTGAGTGCCCAGCACTGCCCAGGAATTTGTAGAAACCAAAAAAATGGCGTTTCTCTTAAATGGATAGTGTAATTAGCGAGCCACACCAAGAAATCAGGCAAAGTCATACCAAAGTTGGATTTTGGTCTGCCATCTTGATTCAAAATGGCGCCTGGAACATAAATGAAGATGGCTGCCCCCACACTGGGATCCTTGTGCAGAGTTTGGTGATGATAGATTGAGAGGCAGGTGAACCTATGACACACAAAAATGGGGAAATCATCCCAAAGTCACGTTTCAGTCCAGCAACTTGAATCAAAATGATGCCTAACATACAAACATTGTTGAAGACCACTGCCCCTACCTCAGAAACCCTCCTGTCGAGCTTGATGGTGATATATTGAGTGGTGTCCTAACTCATACCTAAAAGATCACACCAAAGTTGTGTTTTGGTCCGCCATCTTGATTCAAAATGGCAGCTAGTGTCCAAATGTTGACAACGACCACTGTCCCCAGTTTGGGACCCCTTGTGTCAAGTTTTGTGAAGGTATTTTGAGAGGCAGCGAAACCTTTAGAGAACAGAAGGGCAGGCAGGCAGGCAGGCAGACAAGCAGACTACTTTCCAGAATACAGTGGTACCTCGGGTTAAGAACTTAAATCGTTCTGGAGGTCTGTTCTTAACCTGAAACTGTTCTTAACCTGAGGTACTAATGGGGCCTCGTGCTGCTGCCACGCCGCCACCGTGCGATTTCTGTTCTCATCCTGAAGCAAAGTTCTTAACCCGAGGTACTATTTCTGGGTTAGCAGAGTCTGTAACCTGAAGCGTCTGTAACCCGAAGCGTCTGTAACCCGAGGTACCACTGTATATAGTTTATTCCTTTGTTCTTATGCTGGCCACTGTGATAGTTTTAATGCACGTGCTGCTATTTATTTATGGATTTTATGATTTTGTAAGCCACCCAGAGGACTTTTTGTTGAATTGGTATAGAAAAGTTGTTAACAACAAACTGCAGCGGGAATTAAAAAATAGTAGCTGTTTCTGTTTGGGCATTTGGGGAAGATCCAGATTGTATCAAGAGGAGTGCCACAAGTATTTCCCCAATTACAATGCCTTGTTCCATACAACTGAAT